ATAAGTATAACAAAAAAAAATACTTAATTATTCGAATGACTTCTATTTACATTTTCAATTTATTTAAAATCTATGTGTGATTTTACAACAATTGTGTTGTGATTCTTTAAATACTTTTACATTAGTTTTGTGATATTAAGAAAAAATGTAAATTTTCATATTAGTTACATATTGCAAAAATTAAAATACAGCTATTATCTTGTAAATTTAGTGCCACTTTTTTCAGTGTAGACAACAAATTAAAAAAATAGAGCTGCAATAAAGCTTCCACTATGAAATTAATGTAATTGCAGGTATGAAAATGTCCAAGAATAGACTTCGCATTACATGCTTTTGCCTTATCACTAATTCAGGAGTGCTTGTCGATTCTGTCAAACTCCGAACTAACAATTCCATGTCCTTATGAATACTGAAATTCCGGCATCGAGTCGATAATGGAAAATTGACACCGATTAGCTAAAAACATCAGAGAAGTCTCGCTCATAATTCACTCCATCCGCAAGTCCCGATAAAAGCTCTACTTTACGCCAAGAGCTTTTTGCTCTTATCTCTGGGGAATTACATGTGCACTCTGCACCAAGTGCAGCCCCAGTCGATTCATCCCAAGCCGGTCCTGTGCACCGGAAGTGATATTAATAACGTCGCTGTTGTGCCCGTGAGCAAATTTACTTGTTTCATACAATAGTCAGCTGTTCCTTGGTCCTGGAATATATGGGCCCACATCCTTCCTGTACTTCCTGCAAACTTCCGGGCTCTTATCGCCGGAGTAATTTACGAGCGAGACGTCCCTGGAACTTAAATATGCATCGAATGGAAATTAAGATGATCATTAAAGCGAGATACTTTATGGCCGGCTATCACAACTTACTTAACTTTAATTACGGCTTAATTTAATTTTCGTGTTTTGCTCAGGACAAAAACCCGGATTTTGATAAGGCGAAAAGATTAATTACCAGGGCTAATTAGACTTTGATTCTCCCGAATTGCTCGGTTTAAAAATTGGTGAGTAAAAAGTGCCCAAGTGAGGCTAGCAAAAAGCTCAGGGTTCTCTGGAGGCCGATCTCGAGTCCGGATTGCTCCGGTCCATCGACCGGAGAAATTGGAAGTGGACGTGTGGAAAAACAAAGCTCTTGATTTATTGGATAAGAAGCTTGCCGTGTCATTTTAGGTGCCAGACATCGGAAATTATGTTAGGCTGGCTTTATTAAATTCTACCAGAGTAGATTTTAATTAAAATGTACGACGGACTTACGAAACTGGATTACTGACTTTTATACCGTATTGTTAAAGTTCGCACGTACAAACCAAGAATTACACAAACTGATAAACGGAGAGTGCACTCGGAATGGGTTTGTGCGGGCTTTCAGGCGCGAAAAGTGCCGAAGTTTTGATAAAGGATAACGAATTTGCTACAAAAAACAGGTTTTGCATTCAAAAGAAGATTTTGAATGGAATTTTCTACAAAATGTCTAAACGATTTGAAACTGGGTAGATTTATCAAAATAATGCCTTTAGGCCATGCTTAAAAATTTTTGAAATACGAGTACATATTTTTTGAGTTGAAGTCACCGAACAGTGTATTAAATAACAATGTAAATATCGCATTTTAACGATGTCGTTACTAAAATAAACCGACATAAAAACTGAGTTAAAAATTTATTCGGTAATTCCGACATCTAGAACGTCCTAATTTCTATTCTTTGTAAGATCGCTTTAAAATTTCGTAGCTGTTTTAATGTTACAAATCTACAACTGAAAAAATTCAAAATTTGCGGTGCAATTTTAGAATATTTGCTTCCAATACGAATTGTCCTGTGATTCTAAAAATATTTTTGTGTGTCTTCAATCTTTCAAGAATCACATTTTTAATGGTCTCTTTTATTACTCATAATAAAAGTTCTCTAAAATATTATTGAATAACAAAACCACTAACTGGAATTGAAAGATTTTGATTTTTTGATTTTTCTTATAGAAAAACTAATCTTATTAACAAACTACCACCAAAATGTGAGTATTCAAATACATATTTACGTATCTAGTCTGGAAAGTTAGCTTTTACTGGACGAGTAAGCAAAAAAAAGTCCTTGGTAGCTTTCGAGGCCAGTAAAAGCACCTTCCGGTCGTGGTGCGTGCTATATTTTTTTTTGTAATCGTAAATTTTAGACTTTTAACTAAAAAATTTATTGTTTTAAAACCTGTGGTAGGCTTCTAAGTGATATTATTGCCCGTATGTTAGCGCAGCAATCAGTCAATAAAAAAATTCAATTCGTAAAAGCAAACGTTTCAGTTTACANAAACGTTTCAGTTTACAATTTCTTGTAAATTTTGAGTTGAAAATGAGTGACGAAAGTTTATTATAAATAAATTTAAAACTTTAAGTTCAATTTCTTGTTTTTAAGGACTACTTCAGTAAAATTCAGCGGACTAGTCCAGTAAAATAGCACTTTCCGTGTGAAAAATTATTAAAGTGTTCATTACAGTACGATTGCAAAAAAATATTTTAATCTATTTTAGCGTTTTACAAATTTAAAAATTCTCATTATTTTAAATAAACCTACTTTGGAAAATGTTTGAAGTATGTCTTTCGTTTTACAAATGTGAAATCGGTTGTTGCAAAATATAATAGAACAAAATGTTTTAGTAGATATTAAAAGTTTTAAACTATAGAACATGTGTTGTCTCCAATTTTTTCCAAAACTAATATATTGGATTAGAATGTTTCAAAATGCCAATTGTATTTTTTGTACAAACAAAAATATAGTACATAATTTATCAAAAATTATTACTCTTTTTGTTTAAGATTTTTGAAATTTTTAGTTTTTTTAAATTACAAAATTACAGTTTTGAAAAACTATTTACTCTACCGTTCCGTAGATGGGATGTCTCCAGCCAGTTCCAAAAAGTACCACCAGAGGAATTTGTTTTTTTCAATAGTTTTTATTTTTTTTATGAAAAAACGTATAATTCAAATTGCATAAAAAATACAGCAACATAAGTAAGTAATCTTCAATACGTCAAAAATAAATCAAAAAATTCTTCCGTACAATTTTTTATAAAAAAATAAAATGGCCAAAACTAGAGGTTTTTTTAATCATTTTTAAATGACACGGACAAAAAATTTCACTATATGTTGTTTAGCATTTTTGGATGTAGATTTTTATGACAATGACAACTTTTATTGGTCGACTTTGCTTAACAACCTTATAGCTTGCACCTTCTTCTTTGCAGTAGTAAAAAAAATATTTCTAAATGTTTTAGTTTTTGTGTAATAAATATTTAAAACGTGCATGTTGTCTTCAAAAAAAAAATCCAAAAATGCAAAGCAGCATACAGTGTTTCATTAAAAAAAACACAAGTATCGTAACTTATTTTTGGGACATGCTCGAAATTATTTTAGGTGATGCATAGCACTTGATTAATATTTATCAATGTCCTATACAATTTTTTTTCTTTTACCATTTAAAGGTCACTAATGAACTTTTTTAACTCGCTGGGACATCAAAAAATTATATTTTTTTCAGAATTTTTGAGTTACGATTTATTTTTTTATTCAGTATAGTTACCTTGATAAAACCTTAATAAAATACAATGTGATTTAGATGGCAACATAAGAGTTTAAGCTTAAATGCACTGAAATTCGTTTTCTGCTCAGATTGTAGTAAAAATTAAAAAACCTGTTTACTTATTGGTAGCAACTTAATTTACACAGTTGCAATAATAATTAACTACATTTTATTTCAAAAGAATTCTCAAAATAGAAGATTTGAAAGAGTTTTTAGATATGTTATTCTCTGTTTTTTTAATAAACACTTTAATAAAAAATTGCTTGTTTTTATACTTTGTCTGTGCCTGGTTTAAATTTTCTTTGAAACCTGAAATCTGTATACAGAACCGAGCAATGTGAAAATCAGATAAGTGAGAAAACAAAAAATTTACTTTTTTCCATTTTAGTCATCGACTATCTATTTTCTTTATTTATTTTTCTTTTGTTTCTTTTGGACCTCTTGCGGTGTCGTGAATAGAATAATACACTTTCAACCCAAACACCAAACATTTTTCTCACTTAAATTAAATTCTAAATTGGGGATGACCACTTTATGGTGGAAACGCGGTGGTTAAAATAACTTTGGGGTTTGGGTAGACAATGACTGGAATTATTATTTTGAAATTTTTTGTTTGAATGAAGTCTGCAATGTTTTGTGCATCTGTAATGGATAATCTAATAAATGAATCAGTCGTTTTCATTTATCGCTCCAATCCTGCGATTCTTTCAATCGAATGCATCCCAAAGCTTTCGTTCAATTTTCTAAGTGGAATGTTTCTATGACATTGATCCTCCATAAAGGCCCAAATCGCGTCCCCACATCGCACTCGGAATGCAGCAAACACGAAAAGTGTGGACGATGATCATAACCGCGTCGATAAATCAGAAGGGAAAGACGAGACATTAGCGCAATAACGCAAAATGCCTTTGTCGATAACTTCATCACGACGATAATAATTGCTCAATGGCCGCGATACGAGCCAGGGGACTCCGCCATCTCCAGAAACCAATTACGGAATGTATGCATAAAGAACAGAATTACAGTCGAAATCCGGCGAAATACTGGCGGAATGAAAGTATTGCCTTCGGGAATTGGAGCTAAATTAAATAGATTTATTTTTTAATTTACTTAGGGGCACTCTTAAATGTTTTTCCACTTGCTGCGAGGAAATAAATGTTATTTAATAATCGCCCCTTGGAAAATATTGACATTTTTTCTAACGTAATAAGCGGAATTCTGAATTTGCACCCCTCGCGTTATCAGCGCTCTTATCATCGCGTGTTTCGTCTTTGGCCGTGTTCCGACATTATCTTTGACCCTAGCGAGGGTGAGTCGGGACTAGAATTGCAACGTTCCTTGTATCTGCAAATAAAACAAATGGATTACGCAGAGATAATCCTATTTGCAGTTGGCAAGACTGATGACTCGAGGAACGCACAAGAAAACTTCTCCGCGAAAATATAACAGTTTTATTACCCCAGAAATAATGCAATAACACACAAGAGCGGTAAAGTGGCACTTATCGGGAGCCTAGTGTCAGAATTGCACAATTTAGTTTTGCAGATCTTGCAGTTCTCCGGATTGATTTTCCTTACGTGATCGCACCTGTTGAAATAATGTCGGGCATTCGGGTCGTTAAGAGAAAAACAGGTTTGCAACATTGCATCTGAAAGGGGTGGTTTTATGACAATTTTTGACTGTTGGACTCACATTTGTCAATTATTTTGATGCAGTTGCTGACCATGGCTTCGCACTGGATCTGCGAAGGGTGGTCGCAGTCGATGGTTTGAGGACCTTGGTCCTTGTTTTTTATGTTTTCATCGCTTGTGTGAAAATTATATGAACAATGGAAGCATTTTAGACCATAACCAAATACGCTGATGAAGTTTAAAACGAAAATGAGACAAATGGACTTTTGACAAAAGTTCAGCATTTTGACAAAAGCGCAAAACGCATCTACAGAGTGAGTCAGCAGTACTAGGATCTAGGCAGTGTTGCCAGATCAAAAAGATAAAATTCACCAGATTCGAGTTAAAAAATTTGTCAAATTTTCACCAGATCACGATTTGAATGGCAGTATCTCGTGAAGAAATGAAGTTTTTAGGTTAAAAATCTGCTTAAACTTTTGGAAAAAAGCAAAAATGGCATGTTTTTAGGCCTGATTCTGTGATTTTTCGGCTTGTTTTTGACAAAATTTTGCAGAAATAATGTAATTTTTTGATTATTTAGATTGTTTTAGCGAAAAAAAAACCTGAGGTTTAGTACAAAAACCTGCTCAAAACCATTTTCGGCTAAATTTTGTGGTTTCTCGGCTAATTTTTGCTCAAAACCAGTTAAATCGAGTGAAACAAACAAAATCACATCATTATCAATCGTGTTTGCGATATTTAGGCGTGTTTCGACAAGATTTTGCAAAATAAATGAACCTCAGGGGGCGAAACAAGCTAAAAAATGATATCAATTTCGATTTAATTTAGTAATTTTTTAGCCTGTTTCATTGCAATATTTACAACTTTTTGTGTTTTATCTCTCAAAAACATCGTTAAACACTTGAAAAAGTAAAAAAAAACGTCGTATTTGGACTATTTTCTTGAATTTGTGGCTTGTTTTTGACAATTTTTTTTTTTAAATAATTGTGTTCCTAGCTGAAAAAGCTTTCGAAAAAAACTAAAATAAGTTGTCATTTTGGTGGTTTTCGAATTTTGACGAAATATTCAAGTTAAAGCCTAACACTAAGAGTTAGGTAAAAATATCTTAATAATATAATCTTTTTTTATAACAATTTAGTGATTTTTGACACGCTATAGCAAACTCTCGCGAAAAAACAGAGTTTTCAGCTTAAAAGGAATAATTAAATCATTATCGGTCTAATTCTGTGTTTTTTGGCTTGTTTTTAACCAGTTTTGCGAAATAATTGCGTTTTCTGCTGAAAAACATGCTAAAACTTTCAAGAAATGCAAAATTAATGTAATTTGCGACTAAATATGTTGTTTTTTCAGTTCGTTTTAGCAAAATATTGCAAGAAACGTGCTTAAAAACATTTTCGGCTTATTTTTGTCTTATTTTGCTCAAAAACTAGTTAAGTCGAGTAAAACTAACAAAATAACATCAATATCAACTGTTTTTGTGATTTTTTAAGCGTGTTTGGACAAGATTTTGCAAAATAAATGAGTGTCTGGCTTAAAAACGAAGTAAGTCGAGCAAAACAAGCTAAAAATAATATCAGTTTTGATTTAATTTTGTAATTTTTTTGCCTGCTTCAATAAAATTTTTCGAATTGCCTTTGTTTATATCTCAAAATTGGTTGAATTTTTGGATTGTTTTTAACGGAATTTTGCGATATAATTGTGCTTCTAGTAGAAACAGTATTCGAAAAAAACAAAAGAATTGTCATTTTCGATGTTTTCGATCCTGTCTAGAATCTTGTAAAAAAATAAATAGAAGTATTTTTAACCATTTTGATGGATTTGAAAAACTTGTCAAAATAATTAAGTATCTGGTTGAAAACGTGGAAAATGCTCGAAAAACAGTGTTTTTCATTAAAAAAAATTACCAGATATTAGAGTTTTTACAAAAGTTTCCACCAAATCACCAGACTAACATGAAAATTAGCAGATCTGCTACAGCAACAGTCTTATTTGAGACACTGTGTATGTAAAAAAAAACCTAAACGCAGAAATTTGAACTGTGCTGCTATCTTATGCGATGGCAAGAAACTGGTAACAGTTTTCTATATTAGTATAAATTTATTTAGTAATATTTATTTTTACACAAATAGTTAAAGACTATTTATAGTAAGAATTGTTAGTTTAGCTCCTTTACATTTACATAATTGAAGTTTGATAAACTTTGGTGACGCTGTGTGTGAGAAACACTAAAACGTGTCGGTGCAGAATTCTGTTTTAAGTTTCTGAAAGTAGATTCCTGTAGCAGCATAAAGTTTGACCACTGTCAGTTGTCAATTGTCATTTGTTGAGGTTATAGTAAAATTTGTCTTTGTGTTGTTTGTTTATTTTCTGTTTTTTGGTTTAGTGTCTACAAAAATTGCTGTTATCGGTAAGTTTTTTTTCCTTTTTTGTGTTTTTTTCTCGAAAGCAAGGCCTTGCAAGAGTTACAATTAGTATTTTGCCCCTGTGGCCCCCAGACTGGCCAATAAACATTGCGGTATCAGAATCACGCTCTTGCAATTAAAAATGTGCCACACTTATCTCGCAATTATCTGTTCGTTTTAGCCACGATTCTCGCGCAATTATCATTAGGGTTTTAAGCAAATGGAAAATCACGAGTTGAAACCACGAACCGGCGATAGCATCGTAATTAAATGTTGGAGTGATCTGGGAATGAAGAATAATCTTGGAAATTGTTTGAATGCGCGTTAGAGATGTTTTCCGTTTTGGCACATGAATAACTCCAGTTGTGTAGTTCTATTGTATTTTTTTCTGAGTAAACAACACAAAGCGATGCTTATCTAAGGCCTAGTCCGTCTGCGATCCATATCACACCGTAACACATGCGGAGTCATCGTCCATTGAATTGTAAATTATTGTAACAATGTGTGCCGCACAAGTTGGATGAATATTTAAGCGAGTTAATGGGGCCCATTCTTGTGGATATCGACGCGCGGAGATTAGACAAAGTCGAGCCCGCATTCGGGGCTTTTTTCTTCTTCTTGGGCTTCGTGGTACTAATCACATGTCAGCGCTTGATTGGGTGTAGTTGTTTCAATTTGTCAATTCGAAACGAGGCTGAGAATGCGCTTGATGAGAGATGGGCGCCTTAGAACTGGACAAATAGAGAGAATTTCCACAAGAGGAGATTTGTTGGGACTAAACTTTACCTGTTATTGTGCAAAATTTGTTCGAAAAATACAATAAAGTAAAAAAAAACCTGGCGACACAGGATAATGGTTACTATTGTACACAAAATTGAAAATTTTGTATAAAATCATACTCAAAGTGCGTAAAACGTTGAAAAATTAATTTCGAAAAATTTTGTTGAATTTAGATATAGGAGAAACACTGACCGGGGCCGTGTTAGCGCAGTGACATAATGTCTCTAATTAAGCATAACAAGAGCAAATAAGAGCTAACAAATAAAGCATTAGCGCTTTTTATCGTATTTTTTTAATTTTTTAAAGATGCCTCTAGTATCTAAATATGATCATTTTTCTCGACAAATGGAAAATTTTAGAACTGGACTAAATACTGGAGATTTAAAAACGTGTGAAACGTTTTATTGGACGAATTTGCGAAAAATTCTCAAAATGAGTGATCATTTTCAACACACGCAAAAACGCTTAAAATATAGTGTTCTCTCGTAAATATAGCGTAAAAATTTACATGGTGGTCCAAAAGTCTGGAAAAGATTTTATTCTGGCGAAACTATTTTTTGTCAAATAAATGTATAGGTGTGCAATGGCTATAAAAATGCCATTCAAAAAAATTGAATATTAATTAATTGTTTATACTTACGAGATAAACATAGTAACATTTTTTTTTAATGAAAACCTACCACAATTTTTTTTTAGATAACGAGCTTGTTACAAGAATTGCTGTGCAATTTTTTTTTGTAAACCTCACACTTTTTTGTTAAAAACAAAAAGTAAAGAATTTTTTTTGAGTAAACTACCAGTTTTTTTTGGAAATAAATTAATAAACGTGTAAAGGTTGTAAAGGAGCGATGCCAAAATATTTTTTATTTTAATTAATTGTTTAAACTTTTGAGATTACTATACTAATAATTTTCTTCTTAAATAAAAACGGTTTTAAACATGTCCTAGTAAGTATAGTAAGAAGAAAGACACACACCCAGAGAGAGAGAGGCGCATAAATGCATAAGAGCATTTAAGAGAGTAATGCAATAAGAATGAGAAAGAGCATAAGCGCTTTTTATAATTGTAAAGTTTTTTATTTAATTTGCTTTGTTGTCTATCTGCACAAAATCTCAAATTTGGAACAGTTTTTGTTCTCCGAACAAACTAACTGTTTGCATACAATACAATTATCTTTACTTCAATTAATAATTTATAAACAATTAAAAAAAGTTATAAACAATTATCAATATTACGGCTTCTAATTGAAGTATAAAAATGGTACCAACGCCACGTGATGCAGCAGGAAAAAAACTATACGATTCAAAAATCAAAAAAATCCAAAACAATTAAAATTAAAATATAAAAATCAAAAGAATCCCTAAAACAAAAACAAAAAAACAAAAATTAGAAAAGTTTAAAGAACAATAAAATTCAAAAACCAACACAATTCAACAATAAAAAAAAATAAAAATTAAAAGTACGAGAAAATAAATAGAAAAAATCAAAAACCAAAGCAAAAATCTAAAAAAAAAACCTTCAAATCAAGAGAATTAAAACTTACAAAACAATAGGTAAAGACTACATAGAAAAAAAATATAAAAAAATGTTTTTAAAAAATAAGCTTTATTAGAAGAATGAACTAAAAAGTAAAAAATATTTTTTTTTGTCAGAAAATAACATAACTGAGCAAAATAATTGTGCAATTAGACGTAATGTTATAATCGCTTAAGCTGTAAGTATAGTTATTTATTACACAAGACGATAAAGAAATTGTTTATGTACGAGTGAGAAGGTTAAGTTTATGAGTGACGAAGTCACGAGTGGACTTTTTTCACGATTAAGTAAACAATCTTTATCGCCGTGTATAATATTTCGTTTTATTTTGTACTCACCTACCAGAATTTCTTGAATAGATAAAAATTACTTTATTTCACAAAACGATAAAAGACTATTTTATCTACTGAAATTAGTTGATAAAATACAAGCAGTAGATAAAAATTACTTTATTTCACAAGACGATAAAAGATTACTTTATCTACTGAAATTAGTTGATAAAAACACTCTTTAACATTGAGTACAAAATAAAGCAAATGAGTTTTTAGATACCAAACTGGTTAAAT